TTAAAGCTGAATATTTGTAATTTTATTGTCAAAGTGACTTATTTCTAAATCAGAGTTTGTGTATAGATTCACAAAAGTGGTTTATGAGGTGTTTGGATTGTAATTATTACTGAATGGTTCTTTGATATGCAAAATGAATATCATGTTTATTTTTATTTTTGTTGGTTTTGTATTTAAATGGGGTGTTGATTACAACCTTTGTTTTTCTTTCACTTCCTGAATAAAGACCCATTCTGTTTGGACACAACATGGCTGCTGCTGCTGCTGCTGCTGCTGCATGAGTGTAGACGGAAACAACAGGAGACCGTGATAATGTTGTTTTACGTCACAGAGAGATTGTTATGATAATCTACCAAAAAAAAGATAAATACTTAATATTTCATATTTTTCCGTAAGCTCCCTCAAACTGACTTAAGTACAGTTTTAGGATTTCTTATGCTCTATATTTGAAATAGAAGTACTTTTTATTGCACTACATTTACCTGACAGCTGTAATTACCAATTACTTTTAAAATTTTACATAGAAAAGCTGATGATAAGCTTATGAAATACTGTGTGTTGTTAAAGATGATTTGTGAATGTCTGTTATAACTTATAGACATCTGGAATCAGCAGTTCCACCAAAGACACATTTCCTCCCTTTGCTCTGAAGTAACCGTTTAATTATTTAGCAAAACATCATTTTGAATGTGTGAAGCAGAACTGAATCTAAACAGCTACCTGTATATAAAGTAGTTTCAACCCGCTACAACAGTAAATGTGCATTCATGCATCAGTATTAATGTCATATATCATCTTGTATATCTCACAAGGAGCGTTTCCTGCAGAATGAGTACTTTCACTTTTTGATACTTTGAGACTTTTACTTGTACTGGAGTATTTTTACACTTTGGTATTGCTACTTTTACTTAAGTAAATGGTCGAAATACTTCTTCCTTTACTGGCAGGAACTTGATATGATAATCAAGAAAAACAGCTAATATAATCATATCATTTTATGTAATGATATTTGATAATAATTGAAAATTAAAATAATTTCAGCACACTTCCTCATCAGTTCTGGCCTCATCTAGAGCACAAAGTCAGAAACTGTGAGGTCAATGAGGCACAAATGACTTCTCCCATTCATTAAATCTGACTTTTCATAGAACAGCAGCCTTATTCTACCAAGTCCAAGTGTCTCATGTGGGAGGAATCCTCACCCATGACATAATGGAGCTGATTCTGTTTGCACACGCAGAGTCTGGATGCTGGCTGTTTGCTTTAGGGAGGAGAAGGGAGTGGGTCAGAGGAGGAGGAAGAGGAAGAGGAGGGAGGGTTGGATGGAGCGAGTGCAGACTGCTGCTGCTGCTGCTGCAAAACACCGTCAGCAGCGAAAAAGGCAGCTGAGCTCATGTACGCACACATATGAAAGCACGGCAGGAAATAAAGAGAGACGGACAACATGTTAACCGAGGGGTCGAATCTCACAGGAGACCGGGATCTGAGCAGATAGGACGCAGGACACTCAACACACAGCGTGGGATCAGCTTTTGGAGATGAACAGCTGCCAAATGTGGGGTAAGAACACTGTTACATACTTCATCCAGGGACTTAAACCACATGATGAAACACAGGCTTCTGCAGGATTCACAGTGAATACCTTGAATAACTTTGCACATGTCTGTGCGTGTCAGCGTGTGATTACATTTACTGAAATAAGGAAAAGAAGTCCGATGTCTTATTTGTTCTTCTCAAACTTTTTCTAACACCATGACCTGGTTTTATAAACCACCTGCCGACCCAAGGAACCATTAAACGTGTGCCTGAGTTCAATTACAAAGCAGCCAGAGGCCCCGACGGAGGCTGCCATTGTTTAAAGTGGACGCAGAGAAGCCAAAACACAATCTCTTTATTTCATCTGTAAGAAGCTGACCGGCTCCACGTGTTCACTGGGAAACGTCCTGATGAAAGACGAAACTAAAAGAAAGCTTTACTTTCGAATGAATGTTGACTTATTTCCCTTTTAAAGGTGTAGCTTAAGATTTAACACTACAGGTGCAAATTGTAACTAATATGCAAAAGAAGGCATTATTTTATTAAATATGTGCTCATTTTCATACATTTCCAGAACATAAATGTAAACATTGGATTCATGTTGTTGACATACAGTAGTGGAGTCAAAGGTTTTTACAGAGGGAGTTATGGATATCTCTTTGTATCACTCCATGAATCAGAGAGAATACTGCCCACGTTCTCCATGTTTTTATTAATACATTGTTGTAATTGTTGACAATGAATGATATCTGAAAAATGAACTCATAGATATCACCATGAAACTTCACCAGTTCATTGCTGACATTAAGACAGTTATTTTTAGTCACTACGTTTTCTGAAATGTTATGTTTAAATATGCAAATGAGGCATTATCTTATGGTAACTTTTGGTGAATTTAGTAGAAATCTACAGACGTAAACAGACAAAGTATAAAATAAATGTTTTATTTCCTCTAGTCTGACAGAAGACGAGTTATGGAGGAAAAATAGACAAAAATTTCAAATAATCAGTGCATGAAAAACAATGTTGCATGTAAATCCATGTCAGAGCATTTTTCTCACATGCATCAGTGTCCTCATCGTGTTTACATGTTTGTAAAGCGACGACTCTTTCTTTAATAATAGCTGTTTCACCAACGCTGACCTCATCGCTGCAGAGCAGAACTGCCGGGCGGGGTTTCTCCCTCACAGGACCTCACACCGGCTCTGAGGCCAGGTCACTGCCCCTAAAAACATGCTGGATACGCTAACAGCACACAGGCTTGTGTGTGTGTGTGTGTGTGTGTGTGTGTGTGTGTGTGTGTGTGTGTTTCACAGCAGCTGCACGTGTCCTTCCTGTTTATCTCCTCGTGTTTACTGTCCCGTCAGTACGCACGTCATTTGTCCCTTGTGGCGTGTGTTTAAAAGAAAAGACTTATTAAGATTTATTTTTAAATCCAGATAAAGATGATTACACATTCTGACAGACAGCCAGAGAGCAGATGTGAAGCTCACATTCTCACACCCATGTGTGCAGAGAACAAACCAGTGTATCAATGGAGTCCATAAATCTTCAATTGTCTTTTGCATTTGGCCCAAAACCCCCGAAGAAAAACATCTTGATCACCTTCCATAGATTATATAATGAAATGTTTGATGTCCAACATCTGTCAGTTTCTCTCCCTGAAACATAAACGTATAAAAATCAAGTCGTTGCTTCATGATTAGATTCCCCTGACAGGAATTTAGCTGGATGTTATGTCATAATTCTGGAATGTTTTTGGGACTTGGAACAGAGACAAAGGTTTGGTTTGAGGTCACATGCAATGAGAGGCAGAACATCAGCCTGTGAGCCACATCTGGCCTCATGCTGCTCTCCATCACAAATTAGATCCACTAATTATTGCTAACTATGCTTTTGTTCCGTCTGCGTCCATGACAACACCACTGGAAGTGTTTTATAGCATCATGAAAACTGATAACAGGTTGTGGTCAGAACCTTGTTGAAGAGTCTGGCACCGAGACGCACTGTTTCTGTCTTTTATTCAACATCTTTGAGGAATAAACCCTTTGAGATGTCCTGTCTCATTTTCAATCATACAATACACTTAAGCAAAAACAAGAACAAGATAATTAAACGATACCAAAATATAACAAAAATATATATAAATATGAAATAATAAGACAGGTCAAACTCAAACAGAGCATGAAAAAGGATCAACGTCAGTGATAGCATTACGCAATAAAGACATAATAATAGAGACGTCATTATGAACCAACTGATCCTATAATAAGAAGACACGATGATATGGATGGATGGAATATTTACAGGTAGATTATTATAATCAGAGAGAGCTTTAAACATAAAGACATTCTTAGCTACTTAGAGGCTGCAGGAACAGGAATATGAAGCTGTACAGATTGTCTCAATTGATAATTTGAGGAGAAAACTACCATCAACTGTTTTAGGTAGTGAGGGAAATTGAAATGTATACATTAAAAAATAAACTGCAGCCAATGCTGCTGTCTTCTTATGGTCTTCTCATCATTTGCTTCTTATCTTTCCCTTTTAAACATCTGCAAAAACAAAACCTCTCTGCTTTTAATTATTGATAAATAATGCTACATATATATATGGAAAGATGATCTCCATGTGTGTCCTAAAAGCACAGGAGACGTGGATAACGTTCTGTGACCACTGATTGTTTGTGTTTTCCAGATGTGAAGCTGTGGGCGTTGATGGTGCTGGTGTGTCTCTCCCACTGTGTCTTCGGACAGCTGTTTGACACCAGAGTCAAAGGAGCGCCACGTCTGATCTGCAGCGTCCCCGGGTCACCGGGCCCCGCCGGCAGACCCGGTCCCGGTGGGCCCCCGGGAGCGGATGGGAATGTGGGTATCCCGGGAAGAGATGGCAGAGATGGCAGGAAGGGTGAAAGGGGAGAGAAGGGAGACGCAGGTATTTTATGAAACATAAACAGATCCGGCATCAGTTTATGTGCGATAGATAAACAGTATAAAGATGTGAGCAAGAGAACAGCTGGCACAGAAAAGAAGTTTCCTTTACTTGGCAGCTGGCATGATGAAGTGATGACTTACATAGAAAAACTTGTTGCCATTAATAGCGTGGTTATGAAAAGAAGTGTGAAGGAATAGAACACACTGCAGACACAGGTGAATAGGGCAAAAAAATGAACTCATAGATATCACCATGAAACTTCACCACTCACATTAAGAGGAGTATTTATTGTATTACAAGTTTTCTGAAGTTTAAATATGCAAATGAGGTATTATCTAATGGTAACTTTTGGTGAATTTAGTAGAAATCTACAGACGTAAACAGACAAAGTAGTAAAATAAATGTTTTATTTCCTCGAGTTATGGAAGAAAAATAGATCAAAATCTCACTTTTATTCCAGAGCTTTCCACCATACGCCTTACAATAACAGTTCATCCTGGTTGTTCACAGCTTGGTAAAGATTAATTTCCTTTAGAATTATTCAGGAGGTAAAACTGCCATAAGAAATATAAAATATTTGGAAAGCTTATCATCTCCTCCAGCAGAGTTATGCTCGTGATATCATCTGAACCGCAATAAATCTGTTGGTGGTGATAAGTAAACGTCACGTTGTGTTTCCATTATGTGTGGAAACAGGAATGTAAACACATACCTCCACCTCAACCTGACGCCACACAGAACTCGCTTGTGTTTGCACAAACATATCGTGATTCACAGCGTTCCCTGTAGCTCCAGGGTATTCCTTAACTAAATATAACATAGTTTAAATGTGCTGTTCAAATGTCAAGGTGGCGCTAATCCAAGAGTGACTTAATACATCATATGGATGTGTTTCCTTTGACTGATTCAACATGTGCAGAACAGACGCTGATTCAAAAGACAGATAATTGATGCATTCTATAGATAAGTTGAAGCCCCGCCCCTCTTTTTGGGGGGAAAAAACATGTAAGGATGTCAACGGTGAGAGACAAATAATTGTTTTATCTTGTTTGAATTGTGCCATGAACTACACATAATATGATGTTTGTTGTTTTAAAAGATAATTTTGCACGTCAAGAAAGTCGCATTATGTCATAAAACAAAACAAAAAAAGTATAAGGAAATACGTGAAAGACGACGCACTCAAAAGTAGCTTCAGTGACGTCTCTCTGGGGTCTCACTTTTCTTTCTCTTATCTTATCTCTGGATAAAACACATCAGGGAAGATAACGTTATATTTGTGAGGAACATCGCTAACTTAGCTAGCTAGCCAAGGTAACATCGCGTAATTATGAATCCCACTGCTCTTCTTGGCAAAACCTTTCTGCGTAGCTGGTTTAGACGGAGACTATCGGTTAAGGTCAGACATAGACCTCCAGTAGTCAGGCTCAGTATAGCTGATTGGTCGGGGTGTTTAGGATCTGAAACCAATCAGGTTACTGGTACCTCGGCGAGCGGTGGACGCCTGGCCAATCCCAGCGCTTGAATGCACAGGGCGGGTCTTGCCAAGAAGAGCAGTGGGACTCATAAAAACGTGGTAACGGCCGTATTGGTTTCACACAAACTGAAGCTTTTTTTGACGTGCAAAAATTATCTTTTAAATTTACGAACGTGTGTAATTCATGGCCCAATTCAAACGGGATCATTAAAATAATTATCTCCTGCCGTTGACTCCCACAGATATTTTCTCCAGAAGGACTTCTCTCTATCAGTAACTGCAGAAATGATGACCCCAACATTATTATTTGTTTCCTGTTTCAGGGTTGAAGGGCAGAGTTGGCCCAACGGGAAAGATCGGGGGCCGAGGTGATCGTGGCCCCGCTGGGAAACGAGGCCCCGCAGGAGAGAACGGAGATTTGGGCCCTCCCGGATCTCCCGGCACCGACGGAGAGAAAGGGAACCAGGGCCAAAGAGGGTCACGTGGAACCGCAGGAACCTGCAGGTGTGGCAGCCTGCTGCCTAAATCGGCCTTCTCCGTGGGAATCACCAGCAGCTACCCTGCAGAGAAAACCCCCATCAAGTTCAACAAGGTCCTGTTTGACGAGGGCGGACACTACAACCCGCAGACGGGCAAGTTCATCTGTGCGTACGCGGGGATTTATTATTTCTCCTATGACATCACGCTGGCCAACAAGCACCTGGCCATCGCTCTGGTGCACAACGGGCAGTATCGCATCAAAACCTTCGACGCCAACACGGGGAACCACGACGTGGCGTCTGGGGCCACCGTGATGGCCCTGAACCCAGAGGACGAGGTCTGGCTGGAGATCTTCTTCCACGACCAGAATGGATTATTTGCAGACCCGGGCTGGGCTGACAGCTTGTTCTCTGGCTTCCTGCTCTATGCAGACACAAACTACTTCGACACACTGGCAGAGGACTATTCATAAAACACAAACTGCTAATCACTCTTTTGTTTTTTATTACACATGTGGTCAAACTATATTTTTATACAGATGTGTGTACTGCTAGTTATGTTGTTACTATCGAGACCTATCTGCTGATGTGAGATTATATTATGTGATAAAGCTCGAATACGTTTCTGATGTATTTGTTGTGGCTGGGAGTTGGATCAATAATAACTTAAATAAATGTTGCTGACTGCTAGAGCTTGTTCTCCTTTACAAAGAGGCTAAACAAAAGCATGTGTGAGATAAAGATATTCCAAATTATAACATGAAAAGTCAAAACATATGTTTTTTATTGGAAATAGTGCCAAAAACAACAGTTAAAGGAGAATATGTGTTTGGCTTTGTGCATATGTGGTTTCTCGGACTTGATGACCCGTTACCGGTTTCTTAATAGTTTGATTGACAGCCCGTTGGACGAATGGAAAGAGAGATATGGAGAACGGCAAAAAATATGCTAAGTATCCCAACGTTATAATATTTTATATTTAAGTTGCTTTAAATGACACGTTTAGACCTCAATCTGGAGATGAATGTTTTATCGAGCCAGCTACATTGTTAACCGACTTTCTTCACACTTTAGCTATAAAGTGTGGTTCACACTGGCTACAGACGGCCGGTAGACGACGCTAAAGCTAGTTTACGATTTGGCAGTTAAGGGAAACATAATTTACGTTGTTGTTGTTTTTGCTCCTCTTACTGTTGAGAAAGTGTGTTAAACAGTTATATAAAGCCTTAACGCTGTCTTAAACCCACTTTCAAATTTGTGAAACCTTTATTCTTATTGTGAAAGTAAAAAAAGAGAATTTCACTTTTTTTTATTTCTATCTTTTTGTATTACTTTTTTTTTAAATATCTAGACCACATTGAACTGAGTCCAGATCAAAAACGAATACCTAGACTGGTCAAAGATGGACTGGATTAACCCAGAAAATACTTTTAAAACATAACAGTAGAAAAAAAATGCAAAAAATAAAGATTTCATATTTTCTTTTTCACATCTAGACCACATTGAACCAGATCAAAAAACACTACACCACATTAAAGAGTCGTTGGCTCTCTCTAGTTTAGGATAGTTCAGTCTTGGTATAGTAGCGGTTTTTGATCTGGACCCGGTCCGATGTGGTCTAGATCGGGAGTTCTCAACTTCTGATTGTTTAAAGAAATTCCATGGACCTCTTGACCAAATCAAAATGAAAGAAATAAAAAGGTGGAGCTAGCACCCAATCACAAGGATGCGAGGCCGCGTCGAAGCAGCGACTATTAGCCAATCACAGCATAGTAGGGCGGGACTTAACGCGAAAATGTATGATTGAGGCTGGTTTTACCCCTCAAGGTAGGTTGAGGGGTAGTTTATCTCGTTACTAGGCAGCGGTAACGGCTCTCGTTTACAAACGTTAAGTTCAGTATAGAGAGAGAAATATTGCTCAGAAAATGACAATGTTTTGGGGGGCACGAGCGCAGTGATGCAAACATCGTAGCAAGCTAGCTACGGTTTGTTTATAATACAGACTAACGTTAGCTTAAACTACAACAGTCCTGTGACTTTCTGCTTTGTCTTCATTGAAAATAAAACTATCCTCGCGACCATGGCGTCCTCAAGGTAACGTAAACATAGTCAGCTGTGTGTTGTCTTTCTTGTATAGTTTATGGTTAGCTAAAACGTTAGCGTCCCCGTCTCTGAGACGCTACTTTTAGCTATCAAAGCTAACGTTAGCACTAACAGTTTTTAATAAAACTCTTTATTTCTGTTCTAGTGACATTCGAGAGAAACTGCGGAAGAAACGACGCGCCCTGCAAGACACGTTGGGGGGAAACAAACACGAGGACGACAGCCAGGTAAAGTTATGACAGGTGAACGTGATATATTGATCTGTTTCTGTGGATCAGTGGAACAGTAACCGTGTGGGTTCATCCAGAGCCAGAGCTTCAACAAGACCTGGAGGAGTGTCTCACTTTATACACACACACACACACACACACACACACACACACACACGACAGAAACACACAGATAGAAGAGCTGTTAACGCTTTAGAAAATCTAATTATACTCGATAGGCTCTGGTTCCGTCCACCAAATTGAGTGAGAGGAAGCAGCGAACTGCAATGAAGGTTGGTGTGTGTGTGTGTGTGTGTGTGTGTGTTGTAGTTTAGCCTGTAGGCTGTACCCCTCCTCCTGTGTGTAGTGCTGCTGGCTGCTCAAACACCAAACTCCTTCTCTCTTTCCTCTGCTAATGAAACCTTTTTTTTCCAGCTGTGCTAAAATAACCAGTGTGGATAGAAGTACAGTTTGTATGCTGTTGCTGTTGTGTCTTAGTTGTATGTCTGTGTTGCAGCAGGAACCTCAAAGCAGTGAGGAAGATCCAGGAGAGACGCTGAAACGCACCGTAAGAGCTCAGAGACAGAGGCGGAAGAAAAGGGTACGTCTTCCCTTTGCACCCTTTATATGCATTAGCTTCATAGTGCACACTTTTTAAAGCTCCAGCGGGATTCATAATGATTCCATCTCTTGACAAATGTCAGCTGCTTGACCGATCTTCAGCCCAGGATGATGATGAGGATGTGGGGGAGATGTCCACCATTCAGCACCGCGGCGAAGACGAGGGATCGGCTGAAAAGGCAGCTGACCCTGTGGTTTTATCAAGACCCCCGACTGGGTCTCTGAGCGGTTAGTGTCCATGATATCATTAAAATACAATATCAGAAGCAGTACCGAAACAGTGCTGTGTGATTTTTATCGTGCAGCATACAGTATACAGTATATGGATGTTTTAGCACACAAAACTCTGAACAAAATGACCACAATTTCTCAAAATGCACCCATACAACACCTTTACCCAAGTTAAATAACTAAAAAAAATACACTGTCATATCCAAACTTTTGGTGCACCAAAAAAACATGAACCTTATATTACAAAAGGGGGGATGTAATGTGCCAAGTTTTAGAAAATTGCTAATTTCCACTCATAGTCCTTGAGCAGGTAAGTTAACAATAAAATAGTAATAAGAATTAGACATTACAAGAAGATTAGATGGTAAAAGAGCACAAAATAGGTCCCAACACACACAAGATTAGGCCAAAGAGTACCAAGTACAGTACCAAGGTAGTAAATATTCACCCCAATACTGATTATTACATGTAATTATTGTTTAATGACATGCTTTGTCTTCTAGGTGTCTCCTCACGAATCACTCAAACTCCCGACTCTCATATGGACAGCTTAGTGACACGTCGCCTGGAAGAGCGACTGAGAGCAGCCAGGGTAAACCCAAATCCTTTTTCTTTTTCACGAACCAGCTTGTAATCGAATTAAAGATAATCAAATATATGCCCTTCCCAAACTGTTTCCAGTCTAAAGGTGAGAGCCTCCAGCAGCAGGAGGCGTCTCTGGAGCCAGCCAGTCGCCTGCAGAGCCTCAGAGACAGAGACACTGTAACCCGGTTTGACCGAGAGGTGAGCGTCAAACAGTCCTCTCACCATGATTGTACCCGGTGCAGTGGAGATGTAACGCCAAGTGTTTCACAGGTTGATCCAGGCAGAGCTGGGAGACACGAGGACCCCCTGGCCCTCAGCAGCAGGGTCAAGTTCAGAGAAGCAGCCAGACGGGTGAGGACGGAGACGAGATCGCAATAATGCCGAGAACAAATCATTTGTGTTTTATTTATCTGTTCATTCTTTGCAGATACAGACAGAAAAGGGCCTGCCGACCGCTGAGGAGGCTTACAACTTCTTTACACTGGACTTTGAGCCGGATCCACGAGATGGGACCGAGAAGAAGAGCAAGAAAAGAGACAAACGGAGAAGAACAGCTGAGGAGGACAGAGAGGAAGAAGAAGCTGAAGAGCAGGAAGATGCTGAAGAAGATATTCAAGATGAACATGAAGACCAGGTAAGACGCAGACAACAATATTGTAAGAAATGACGTGGTGCATCGCGACTATTTCCACCTTTTCTGTAGATTCCCGACGCCTCATATTCTTTGTCCTGCGGCAGAATGAAGAAGCTCCACTTGTGCGAGATGAAGAGGACAATTTATTTGTCATTGAACAATCGACACAGGACTTCCTGGAAGTGAAGAAAGCAGAGTACGTCGGGTACCGAAAACTTGTTCAGCAGGAGAGCGAGCTCCTCTTCACGCCAAGTTTTCGAACAGGTATTCTCAAATGTACAAAAGCACCTGATGTATTGTCGGCTTTGATATTCTGCTGAGGATCTTTTACCTGCCTTTTATCTGTCATTGCCACAGCCCCAACCTCCATCAAACTGCCTGAAAACATGAAGCCTCGTTACCTGGAGGACGAGGGTCTGTATGTCGGGGAGAGGCCTCCTGTGTCTCCGATCAATGAGAACATTCTGGAGAACCGCATCTTGAAAATGGAGGAGGTAATTTCAACCAACATGGCAGACAGCTGAACAGAGTCGCAGGCCCTGGAGCCATGAATATATACTGTATATATTTTAATTCTTCATTAAGGGAAAGAAGTGGTTTGGTGATGACGGCAGGATCGTGGCTCTGCCCGACCCCATAAAGGAATCATCCACAAGACCCCCTCTCTTCCACATGGAGGAGGACCTGGACCCTGCACTGCAGCCTGTGTACAGGAAGGTCAGACACACTCACTCTCACTTCCATCACTCCATCATTTGGCACATCTAAAGCACCGTGCACATTCACACACTGGAAAGGTGTTCTCTAACCCCTTTGCAATCTTGAGAAAAAGAAAAAGGTCAGTGTGTCATTTGATACAAAGGGACAGGGAGGGAGGGGGCGACTGTTATCGGGGGAAAGAGCAGAGGTGGAGGCTGACACATCTGTGATATCATCTCTACTGACAATATACAGATACATCTAAACTCCATTAAAAGACACACACAATATGTTAAGTTTCCTTCTGAAGAATGTTATCTATCTACAAACACACCAGACTCCATTCACTGAAACACTGATTCTACCTCTCAGGACAGAGGAGCTGCTGCTCTCCTGCTGCCTCCATCTGTTACTGAGTTTTAAAGGGTTAATTCAGAATCACTAAAGTCACAATAATCATAAATCAAAAGGTCCCCTTGCTTGTTCAAGTCACTCATGAGTATATTCACTATCATCCCATCAGAAAATACACCACAATCAACTCATTGTGAGTGTTCTGCTCTATCGGTCCATCCCTCCTTTAATTCTGGCGTGAAGGACCACAGAAGCAAAACATGACAAATATGGAGACCCTGAAAAAAGCAAACAATGCAGGTGACACAGATGTGTTGTGGTTCTCTGGTTGGGAGTGTTTGAGTGGGAAACCCCCAAAGAACTCTTGTCTTCCCATGTATTTCTTTTTTTTTACTCTGCAGACGGACACAGCTGCCACATTTGATCATCGAGAGAACAGAGCTTCTGTTGTAGTTTAATTGAGTGTTTATCTTACATTGTTGTCACGCATGACTTTTCATTACAGCGCCTCCCCGACGGTGCTATCAATCTGTTTCACGCTTCCTTTAAGCTTGCACACATACTTAGATATGCCCGAGTGAACCGCAAGCACCCACTTTAACTGTGATTATTATTTTCCAGAGCGTTGCATGATGGATGATGTTGTTGTTCTATCCGCTATCGTAGGCGCTAAAGTCCAAGAATGCAAATCTGTATATCGCTGGTGCAGCGGACCCCGAGGGAGACTACCAGCTGGATGTGGACGTCTCTGGGCTGATCTTCTCCCATCACCCACTCTTCAGTCGGGAGCATGTCCTGGGGGCCCGTCTGGCTCAGCTGTACGATCAGTACCTCACCAGGCAGGGTAACAACCTCACAGGACACCTCACTGACAAGGTAAACCATCACCAGACGACTGTGACGGTGACTCTGTGAAAACATCCCTGAATACATGCAGAACATGTTTGGTGTATTATCCAAACAAGCCACCCGTGTACATTGTGTATTTCCTGTGTGCTTTAGTTGAACGGACTGAGGAGTGCACTGCGGAATATACTTGAGATCCACGGCGGGGAGAGCCTCACTCAAGCCATGCAGCAGAGGATATCTGAGTACAGTCTGGAGGTCCGGTGAGTTCCCCTGATTTTCCTGTTCACTCTAGAATCCAAAGTCCCCTCTTAAGAACCATGACGAGGTATTATTCTCTCCGCTGTTTATCGCAGGAACACTCGGCAGCTGCGAGACAGCGAGCAGGAGAAAGACAGGACCCTGCTGAAGAACATCGTTAAGGTGTGGAAGGAGATGAAGGCCCTGAGGGACTTCCAGAAGTTCACCAACACGCCCTACAAGCTCTACCTCAGGAGGTGAATCTCTTTGTGTAGATAATAAGACACTGTCTGGTGCTGCTCCATAGAATCAATAGAACTTTAATAAAATGGGATGTGCAGAGTTGTGCTTCCAGAGGAGACTCTATTGCACTATTAGTATGAGTAGTGATTACGATTATGGCTTCCCACAATTAAATGTAAATGATCAACGGCAACATTGACGTTTAAAATGCGTGCTTAGCTCACGGACAACATATCAAATCCAGCGCCTAGGGGGCTATCAAGATCTTTTGGCTTCACTTTTTGGGAGCGGTCATGCCGCTGTGTCGCACGCACACCAGACAGCAACCTCTGGTTCTGCCGAGTGAAGCCGATTCTTCATGTGTTAAAGCTGCATTCTCTCTAGTGACCAGCGGGGGGCGACTCCTCTGGTTGTATAGAAGTCTATGAGAAAAGTACTCTACTTCTCTCTTGATTTATTACCTCAGTAAACATTGTAAACATGAGTTTATGGCGCACACTCTTCAGCAGCAGTCTGTGAAAAACTTTCCTGAAAGTTGCGGCTGAAGAGTAGAAGAGTAATATGATTACTAAGAAGTATGAAATGAAGTATATTATTAGTTTTGCCCGTTGGAGCTCTGTTGTACTGAATTCAGGTGAAGAAGAACCTTATTTTAAGTCTTATTTCAATGCAAATATTTTTTTACATTAGCAGGACTGTAGCACAGCATGGAAGTGAAAGCAGCGCTCTGTTTATTTAAATGTGAAAGTGGAATAAAGATCCCTAAAATCAATAAATAATTGTACCCCTAACAAATGCTCGATAATGTGCGTGTCTTCTGCTGATGTTTGTACACTTTTCATTAATGTGTTTTTAAACCACTCTCCAGGGAGAATGTGGACCAGGCGTCGGATGAGCGAGAGCACGAGGATGAAATCTTGACCGAGGTCATGGAGCTGGAGGCAGAGATGGAGGAAGTTTACCAGAGAAAGCTGGCCGAGTACAGGAAACAGCTGGAGGAGTGGAAGCTCTGGAGAAGGAAACAGGTAGATCCATGCTGCCTTTAGCTTACTGCACATATATCAGTCCCGTTCTGAAGATAAATGAACTCTTTAAAAACCTCTTGGGTCAGCTGGAATACGCTTCGTGTTCTTTTTAGAGATACGAGGTTCTCACAGGACAGAGACAAACATGATGATCTTATAGAATAACAGGACATAAAGGAGTTATAATTCAACATATACATGAATGCAGCAGAAACATCAGATATAATAGCAAATCTGTCCATCAATACTGTTACATGAACTACATTTAGCTGATAATACTGACATACTTTTACTCCAGTAAGGTTTTGAATGCAGGTCTTCTAGTTGTAGTGGAGTATTTTCATAGTGTGGTATTAGTACTTTTACTGCAGTAAATGATCTGAATACTTCTTCCACCACTGCTGATGAGTAACAATACATTTAAAAGATAATGTATCAAGTTTGTTTGCTTATGTTTTACTTTTTTTTTTTTTAAATGTCTGTCTGCTGATAAATATATATAGATATAGATATAGATCTATATATATCTCTATAGTTACCAGATTGTTCTTAAATAGATCAAAAATCCAGCATCAGTCGCACTACAGTACCTACATATGTATTTAATATTTATCTAACTTAGCTCAGTCAGGTGTAGTTGGTCACTTTACCGTGCAAGCAAAATCTGTTCAGTAAAATATGTTTACCTAAAATAAAGAATAATCAATAAATAAAATTCAAATTCTGGTTTAAAAATCAAGACGGTGAATATTCACATATATATTAACACACACACACACACATACATCCTGTGTTCACCGTGTTCAGAAAGCCAAAAAGAAGAAGAGAAAAAAGAAGAAGAAAGGCCAGGCTCAGGATGACACGGAGGAGGATGAAGATGAAGAGCAGGAGGCGAGTGAATCAGAGGGGCCCGCTGAGGAAGGCCCCCAGAAGCCGGAGCCTCCGGAGAAGCCCGAGTTCGACTCTGTGGAGCAGCGGGTCAGAGAGAAAGCCTTCAGGATACGAAGGCAACCCGGAGAGTCCATCCTCATCCCGGATCTGTCTGCATCTGGAAACATCACCGCCACTGAGCTCTGCCCCAGGTACCAGCAGGAAGTTAATATACAAAATACATCCACTCTTCTCACCCACTGGCATGTTTCTTTCCACTTGTTTTGAGGAAAAGTGAGATGGTAAATCTGAGATGAAAGGACTTAAGAGATGAACTGTCTGTTAATGTTTCCTCCTCCCGTAGGCCTGAAATAGCTCGTAGGGAGGATGTTTCACGGCGCTCCCTTTTCATCAAGATCCTCTACAACAACAAAGAAGTCTCCAGAACGGACGGCCGCTCCCTGAACGCTGACTTCAGAGTTCACTTTGGACAGATTTTCTATCTCAAGATACTCAACTGTCCCCAAAGCATCAATCTGCAGGTACAGTAGCAGAAACATCAGCTGGACTGTGTTCTTCACACGGCTGTTCTTTAACGTTCAAAGGTTCTGTTGACGTTTTCCAATGAAGGTTCAAATGTCTGTTGTATTTTATGAGGTCATCACCCTAAAAAATTGGGATAAATACATTTTTTAAAATTGTGGTAAATGAAATGTAACTCTTGGTGCCTTCAGATTGCTGCTAGACTCCAAACCGCATGGTGAAACACCGACCGGCTCAATGACGTACAAACTGAACCGCTGCAGCACTTTAAATACAGACAGAGACTTCAACTATGTGAACACTTGACCATGAAGCTGCTCGCTTTATTTCATGTATAAAATCATTTTGCTTCACATAATATATAAATATCCATCATTACCATCAATCAATCTCCTCGTGTTCTTCTTCTCCCTAATATGTGTGAACGGTTGCTTTTTAAAGGCAGAACGACAATTAATATGGACTGAAGCAAATATTTTGTTAGATAAACATGTTGTGAATCCCTTTTTCAATACATTTTGATCACATGAGTCAGAAACAACGCAGCCACCACTGGAATCCTGTTCTACAAATAAGTTAATACTAATAGTATTAGTGAAGCCTGATCTGTATCTGACACTGGGCTGTTTACTGACTTTAAATACAATAATCATGCAAAAAAACAACAACAATCTGCATCCGAACGTCGATGTTATGAGTGAAGCTTCTTCTCGTGTGTGTGTGTGTGTGTGTGTGTGTGTGTGTGTGTGTGTGTGTGTG